CAATTATGGCCCACTTCCCGASATTTGTATGATGTTTGAGGCACCAAAGAATTTTTTTTTGCAGTTGCAAAAAACCTGATTTAAATGCATCGTTCATTATATATACATCTATACACACTATATATATATTTACATGTATAAATACATTAAAAGTTTTAAACATAAAGTTAATGGGGTCCTTATCAGACAAATGCACTTTCATATTTTTTACCTTCAAGATACCAACTAATTTTTAAGGACCTAGTTACTATGTTGAATGTTCCCAGGCTTCCCCTTCTTTGCTTAACATTGCTTAAACATATTTGGAAAAAAAAAGTTCATTTTTAAGTATTACAGTTCTGAAAATGGAGTCAACAGATACAACCAATACATCTGTGTAAAATCTTTTCAATGTACCTTTTAATCTTTGGTGCTTTTTTKCCTTTTCCCTGAGCTCCATGTGTTTGAAGATGCTTTAAAAACATGACTGAGACTTGTATTATCTTTGGTATAAGTGTGTGGATAAATGCATCTGTGTACATGCATARACTGTGACCATAATTTTTTGTACCTGCATTAAAGTCATTTTTGTTCAAAGATGCTTTTCTGGGACACCACCATTTGTTTCTGTCATGTATTCAGTGTATACACTGTGGAGAACAGGAAACGGGAATTCTTGTGTAGGTGAAGATGAGCATCACCTAACAATTATCAGGAATCTGKTAAATTGACTTCAGGTAGCAAGTGGGTGGTAACAGAGTAATGATTTTCACTTCAAAAGCTTTTGTATTTTTTTAAGCTATTCTTTGATACCTCTTGGTATTCTCAGACGGTTGCAGTATTAGGCAACTTTAATCAGAAGCAAAAAGACATTTGGATCATGTGTGGAATAATTCTCCATGCTTTTTAAGGTTTCTTTAGTATTTTGAGTATTACCCCATGCTAAGCCTGCAACTTCTAGGGCTGAAAACAGGTTACAAATCTTGGGAGTTGAGTGTTTTTTGGTTGGGTTTTTTTTTTCCCCCAGGCATTAAGCATTGTGTGATATAATTCAAAAACCCTGCAAGATGTATAACTTTGATTCAATAAATTCTGAAATACATGTAATCTAAGCCTCCRACTACCCTAAAGCTGCCTGAAGTTGTACATGAGCTTAGGAGCTTTGTTGGATCAAAGTTTGTGCAATTCAGTGCTGATAATTGTAATTAATAACATTCCTCCAGTTGGATTGGGACTTCCTTTCAAGACTGTCTCCTCTAACCCCATTATGGTTCACTGTAAAGGTCATATAATTTCTAATTTCAACAAGTCGCTGCTTGGTGTAGGCACCTTTCACAAAAAAAAAGGAATACTGAGCGTAGGTTGCAAGTGGTCATATCTGTGGGGCAAGGTCACTGGTACTTTGGTTACTTAGCCATATTCATTAAAATTATATGAATTGTATAGTTTGGATAATTTATAACATTAAACTTGGTGATTTCAATATCACAGGGAAGGTTCAGCTGTACTCATTTCTTTTATTGTTTAACACCAGTGCTATGGACAAAAGACCCAAAGGGGGTGGTAGTATTACTATTTTCTTAATTTATTTGGTACTGTATAACACCTTTCTGATTCAATGCAGTGTATGCATTTTGGGACTCCTAATTTGTAAAAGCTGTTACAGGTTCAGCAAGAAAGGAAATTTGTGCTTCCTTGTTGAATGTTAAATTATTTTACTTTGCATTTTATATAAGAGTACCAATTAAAACTGAGCCATCAAACTGCAATAAATCTACAGTAGTGTTTCATTTTAAAAACCTTTTGTACTGTACATAGATTTGTTCAATAAAACGTTGTCTTTGTTGTTGATAGAAACTGATCTTGTCTTTTGGAGAATCACTCTGGAAATGCTGCTGTGATGTTCAGAGCTACTGTGTTTGGTATACGAGGGTTTTGTGTCACCTGTGTAAAAATGCCAGGTCTTGATGTTCCGTGTGTGTGGATATTTGGATTTGAATAGACCAAGCTTTAAAATGGGGGGAGCAGTTAATTCCTAAGGCTCACAATCCAAATTTGGGGCCGCAGACAAGTCTGGATGCAGCTGTTTTAAGATATTTCTGCTTCTGTTTGGTTGTCAAGTCCAGACATAAAGACAGTGTAGTTACTTTTTTTTTCTTCAGAAAGTTCAATACTGCCCTTTGAAGTTAGTGAATAATTTAGATTTATTTTTCACAGCCCTGTAAATTCTTACTTTTCTTTGCAGATTTTTGACTGTTTCCTGCAAAATTTGGATGATTTTTGTTGTGTGTGTGTAATTTCAAACTTACTTTTGTTTCCTACTTGGGGTAATTTTGACMAGGTTCTTCCCTGAGGAAGTTAGGTATGGATGTAAGGGTAATGGGTCTCGGGTACATTTTGCCAGCAAAAATATTTATCAAAATGGCAATGTGTACATAAGCCAATTAATAAATTCATTGTTGAATATATTGGCACCAAATGTAAACTTCTCTGGCCCTCCTCAGATGGACAGGAGAAAGAAAATACACAAAAGCCCTTGTAGGGACTCCTTGAATTATGACAGCAATTTAATGTTACAAGAGTTCTGTTCATCTTTGGTTTATATAGGCTAATAATTTTCCTGTTTCTTTCCCTTTGGGAATGCCAGTTCYTGCACAATGCTTGAGTCAATTAAAAGTTTGAATAAAAACTCTATAGGGAATTCTGAGTTATGAGAAAGAGATACAGAAAATGAAACTACTGAGATTATTCCCTTTCCACCCCCATCATCTCCAAAAGGGAAGCACTTACAAAGTAAAATAATACATAAWTATACTATAAATAATTATAAATAATCTGTCTGAAAGGGCTGGTCTTGGTTTAGAAAAAGAAAGGGGTGGGGGCGATGTCAGTTGAATATTGAAAAATCTCTCCAATCACCATGATGACAATCACTTTTCCTCTAAGGGTTAACGGGAATGCCCTCCCTTCTTCTGCTCTTCTCCCTCATTTCTTACTGAAAACGCAGCAAACATCTCAATMTAATTTTTAGAAAGCCATCTTGATGGTTGTTGGGGTTTTTTCCCTGGAATTCCAGAAGATTTGGTTAGTATGTCTCCCTTGAAGGCTGCTAATCTAGAGAGGTTTATTGTAACATAAGCAAAGTGAAGCAAAGRTAATTTATATTTCTCAGATGCATTTGCTAATTTTTAGTTTGCAGGATTGATACTAATCAAAAATGTTCAATCAATGTACATGTGAGGGGAAGTTTGGCACAGCATAATGTAATAAGCATTATTACATTAAAGCTTTCCAGATACTTCCAGAGTGAATTGTTATGTGAATGTTGAACTTAATGGGCAAAATTGGTTCAGCTGTTTCTGGCTTATGTGGAATTTATTGCTCAGGCTGAAGAGAATAGCTCTTACCTAAGCTGAATGTGTGTTGGTTTTCCTTCTGATGAACCTGGGAGATCTGCATGGACTTTTTTCAGATCTCAAAGAGTAAACAATCATCTAAAATACAAGCATTTTAAGTGGGGAAGGAATTTGTTCTTTGTTCCCATCAGTGTTCTGTTGTAGGTTTGCAAGGTCTTGAAGGCAGGCATTCCTTACTACAGCTCTGAACAGAGCCCACCATAATGATGGGTTCAGTTGTGTAAAAGCATCATCAGTAATTCTAACGTAATTCTTCTGTGTGTCTTTACAGAATCWGTCTCTTCCTGGTTTTGAAATCACAGGCAGCTTCAGCATGAAACGGTGGGCTCCTTACACATCCGTCTTAAAGCATGGGGTGGAGGAGAGTGTTGCCTTTTTCTGCCAGAGAACTCACAAAGATGCACTTGTTGCGCCTTTATTTGTCTTGGCACATAGCGTATGATGCTTAGCTGAAGCTTCTGCTGTCCTCTATTGCCTGTCATCTTTCCTCCTTTCTTCTTTCATTTATGAACTGGTTGCTCTGCCCCTGACAGAGAAAATAGTGCTGAGTGGAGGAGCAGCACAAGACAGCTACCTTGCATTTAGTAAAAAAGCATCTTTAGCTTATAGGACCTCATTTCCTTGAGCAGGTTGCTTTTGGATTTCCCACTCTTTGGGACAYGCATCCCTTGCATGGCGTTAGTTCTTGCTTCAGTTACAAGCAGATGATTTGCCTGATGTCCACAGGGGCTGTATCTCAGACATTCACGGGCTGGTCCAGATGAAGTGACTGGCTGYAGAAATCACAGAATGGCATCACAGAATATCCTGAGCTGGATGGGACCCACAAGGATCATCGAGTCCAACTCCTGTCTCTAAAAGAATCTGCAGGCGTCACACCATGTGCCCCAAAGTGTGGTCCAAACGCTGCTTGCACTCTGCCAGGCTGGTGATGGGGAAAACGAACCTTTTCCTGATATCCAACCTGAAGGTGTCCTGTCACGACTTCAGGCCATTSCCTTGCGTCCTGTCACTGTCAGCAGAGATGTGACCAGTGCCTGCCTCTCGTCCTTGTGAGGGAGTTGTACCTGCAGTGAGGTCTCCTCTTGTCGGGCTGAGCAGACTGAGTGACCTCAGTCCCTCCTCGCATGGTTTCTCCTCAAGGCCCTTCCCCATCTTTGTCGCCCTGCCTTGGACCCTCCCGAATGGCTTTATAACATTCCTACACTGTGGTGCCAAAGCTGCCCCGGGACTCGAAGTGAGGCCGCCCCGGTGCAGAGCAGAGCGGGACAATCCCCTCGCTGGCGATGCCGTCCCCGATGTCCCCAGGACAGGGATGTCACCCCTGGCTCCAGGGCACTGCTGGCTCATGTCCAACTCTCCATGGACCAGGACCCGCACGTCCCTTTCCATGGTGCTGCTCCCCAGCCTCTCACTCCCCAGAGCTCAGCAGGACGACTTCACGACGCGATGAAGGGAGTGATATACATAATTATCAATTTTCCAAATGTATAGCACATATTTATCCACTTGATTCCGCCTCCTTGCGGCTGCTCCTCCGCTTCCCCCGGCGGTTTGTCCGTGCGGAACCTCGGTGCCGGTCGCTCTTTCCAGCCGGCGCCCAGCGCTGCACCGGGCGCGGCCCCGCGGGGCGGCCATGGCGGGCCCGGGGCTGAGCGAGCGGGAGCGGGCGGGCTGCCGGGCCCTGCTGGAGCTCCTGCACACCGAGGAGCTGCTGGCGCTCACCGACACCGTCACCAACCGCCTGGTGCACCCGGAGAGCCGCCAAGGTGCGCGGGCAGCGCGGGGCTTGCCGTGAGGGGCCGGGCCCTGCCCAGCCCAGCGCCCGCTCCCCGGGCCCGGCGGCCGCGGCTGTTCGGGGAGGGGCTCCGGGGCTCCGGGGCTGCGCTGGGGGCGGGGGTCGCTGCCGGGAGCCTTCTCCTGCACAGCCCGGCAGCGCCGGGGCTCGGCTGCGCGGAGCTTGGGCTTGTTCGGGCCGAGGAAGTCGCGGTGGCGAGGGGTCGGAGCAGACCTTCGGCTCTCAAGCGCGTCTTTTTCCTCTCTTAGAGCCCTGCAGCGAGCTGCGAGCACGGCTGTGCCCGTTAGTGGTTAAAAKAATTGAAAGCTCGAGAATGTCTCGYCATTGGTGTCTATCACATTTGCTTTCATTTGCTTTTGAAAGGGAAAAGCACGAATCTAACATTGAACGTAATTATTTTTGCAGAACACTTTCAGTTGTGGCCATCCCCTGTCACTTTGTTGAGATTTGTTTCATAAAATTTAATTTTTTTATGCGAGTTACCTGGGGCCACTCGGTTGTCCTGAAAAAAACTCGTCCCAAAACCTTGAGTATGTTTTATGTGCTGTAACCATTACCTGTAAGATTTGCCGAACAAATTTCTTTAAAAGATCTTTTACTGTAGTTTTTTTACTTTCCCTTTTTGTCTACTTTTTGCAGTGATTGTAGATTACATTAAAAGATTTTTTTTTTTTTCACTTTAGCTGTGAAAGTTTCTTTGGGGTTAGATTCAGGGGTTTTATAGGTTCCATGTGAAGTAACATCGCAGTTCAGGTGGGAGCTGTCTACTGCAGCTGTTTTAAAAGTGAATTGGTCATATTTCCTTGTTTTGCCTCAGAATCTTGTAGCTGAATTTTTTTATTGTTGCCTTTCAATGCASTGTTGTGCTAGGGTGCATTTTCTTATAGACATGGGAGCTGTAATCACATTAGTGAGGAAATAAAACAGATTTCATTCCATTTCACCAGCCTTCAGGAAGGAGGTGSAACCTCATTTTCACCAGGTACTGTACATTGTCTGAAACACTTGGCCTTTTGTTCAAGAAAGTTTTGCAAACCTTTGGGTGTATTCTGTGTCTGTTATGATTAGGCCAGATTTCAGTTTACAAACAAATTTTCAGTCTCTTCATGTCATGTCACATTGCTGTCTTGTGTTCTGTTTGGAGGTCAGGAGTTAAAGAAATGGCTTAGATTTGGGTTTTAATTCTGAAAGAAGCCTCGACTAACTTCAGTTTCTTTCCTTGCAGAGGCCATTCATGCCATTCTGGTGTACAGCCAAAACGTGGAGGAACTTCTAAGACGCAGAAAAGTCTATAGAGAAATCATTTTTAAGTATTTGGCAGCCCAGGGAATTGCAGTGCCTCCTTCCTCTGAGAAACACCTGCTCATTGAGCGTGTGAGGCAGTTCTGGAGTGGGCAGCTCACAGCACAAGTCTCGGAGCCAGGCTACAGAAAACCCCCTGCAGAGGTGAGTGCTGCTTGCTGGAAATCCTCAGCATGGCTTTTATAAAATAACCAGTGGAAATATTGTCATGCACATGCAAAAAGTGGCTCTTCACCTGTAGGAAGGTCCCAAATCTTTTTAACTYTTGGTTGTTTTTGTTTTAGTTGGGCTTTTTGGTTTGTTTTTTGAATTTCATCATGTAAAGATGTCTGCTCTTTTTKTCACAGTATTTGAAGTCTAATGGTGAAGTCTTCTCCATGCTTTGGATTTTTAAATTGTCCTATAGGCTAAAATAAAGGATATTCACAAATAGTTTTGTGGATTCAGGGATGACTGGAAACAGTAGGAATGGCACAGAAGCCCTGCTGAGGCCCTTGTGATTTTAGTGAGTTTATGTATTTTTAAAATGTAAAGTCCCCAGCAGTGCCAGGTTGGTGTCATTTGTTTCCCCTTGATATTTTAACAGTTTATTTTAACAGTGCAAGGAAATATGTTTAGGCAATAACGGATTATTTTGAAGTTAAAAACTTTGCCATTTAGCAAATCCTTGTRGTGTAATGGCCTGTCAGGGATTTGTAGTTCTAATTGGCCACCTTGCTGTAGTTCAGAGCCCTCTTGGGCAACAGCCCCACCTCCTGGGCTGTGAGAGCTCTGTCTGCGTTGAGAGCCTGTTTCACTGAGTTTTCACTCAGGGATTAATTGGTGACAATTAGGATTTAGCTGAGAATTGTTTTCAAAACAATCTTTTGTGTTCATACTTTGGGGAAAAAAAAGAAAGTTTTCTCTTGTGAGAACACTTCCTAAGTATTACCCATTAGCAAAGTTATGTGGTTGATGGTACATAAATGACGTACTTAAAACACACTCAGATTAAAAGACAAGAAATTGATTTATTTATGACATACATCTTTCTTTGAGTTTGTTTTCTCCTAATTCTTGTGACCCTCGTCACTTCGAAGACATGGGAAACCTGGACCAATGTAACAGAATTGGAAATTAATTACAAGTTGTGGTGAAACAAATACAGCATTTCTGTATAGAAATTTCCAGACTTTTCATGCTTAATTACTTAATGCTCGTGAAACAATTTAAAATTTACTAGATTTTGGTGTTAGCAAACTTGATATTTTATTTACTCCTAAAAAAAGTCTTGTTGTTGTCAAGTCACAAATATACTGAATCCCTACAAAATAACTACATTTAGTTTCAAAAAACATGTCAGCTTACATCCTTCCCCTRCCCTTTTTCAGTAGAACCAGGATTTTCCTCTTTGATTATAAAGAGATCAAGATACTGAAGCTCTTTCTAGGTATAATTCAAGGAGCCTGTCCTGTTTCTCTAGATAAGATAATCACATTTGTAAAAATAAATGAGATTTTACTTTGGTATTTCTCTTCAGGCACACTGTCTCAGAACACTTGAAGAATAAGTATGAACATGATTTGATGTTTTTCTAAGTGATACTCTTTCAAAAGAGTTCTAAAAATAATTTCACTTGATTGCAGAGTCATGGAGGCGGACAGAAGTCACCACAAGATGACATTGGTGGTCTAGGAGGAGAGTTCTGCCAATGGTACTTTGAACTCCTGAATGCTCAGCATCCTTTGGGAGTAAAATCCGAAGAAACATGGGGACCACAGCATTTTTGGGAGGATGCCAAACTGAAGTTCTGTTACAACACRCTGGAAAGAAACATGGAACAGTACGTGGGTGCAGACATGGTSAGCCTGCGCCTGCTGTCCTTGGTTAAAGAAGAATGTCTGCTCTTCAACCCCAATTTGCATTCCAGTGGTCTGAAATGTGCCATATCCCCTCATGGATTGGTGCTGGTGGCAGTTGCTGGCACAGTACACAGAGACAACACTTGTTTGGGTGTCTTTGAGCAGATTTTTGGGCTCATCAGCTGCCCCATGAGGAATAATACATGGAAAATAAAACTGGTGAACCTTAAAATAGTGGGACAGAATGCYCTGGAGCCTGGGATGCGACTTGAAGCACCTTCCATAAAATATGAGTCAAACCAGCTGCGAGAGTTCTATGATGGGAACGAACTGACTGTGTTTGAACATCAGAAATTCTGAGCATTTTATCACAGTTGTGTGAGGGGCTGGATTGTTGYTGCCTTGCAATCTGTCTTTGAATAAGATTTGCTGGGTGGCAAACTGAGATACAGGGAATTAACACAGGTGATGCTTGTGAGCACCTTTCCAAGAGGTTACAAATATTTCAAGGCTGTTACTTCAGGTTTTGCACTGTCATTAGAGTGGAGTTTGGTTACAAAACATTTAAATATGGATTGGCAGCAGTGTGTAATGAGGGGTTCACAAACTGCAGATTGCTTCGCTTCAGGACAGCAGTTGAAACTCTTGCCTGAGATGTAGCAGGAAGTCATTGCATCTGGTTCTAGGAATTTGGGAGGGGAAAGTGTCCAAATGGACATCTGAGTCCAAAGAAAACCAGTCCAAAACCAAAGTACTGTGAATGGAGGCAGCTGCTGTGGGTGTTCTAAATGTGGTTTAATGGGACAGTGCAGGGAATTTGGCATTGTTGAAGTCTTTTTTACCTTCTTTGCATAYATAGTTTCCTCTTCTTTTACCTTGTGGTTCCAACTTTGTCATGAAAACACAGGACAAAATTATTCTCTCTGTGTGCCCAAGCAGTCAAGTTTGAGATGGTTGCCCATTTCTGGCACTGTCTTGCATCAAATACTGAATTTCAAAACTTGCAGCAACACTGAACCAAATGCTCTAATAGTTATTTTGTATATAATTACAACAGAGTTCTTAATATAATAGGATTTTTGTATGTTTTTTCAAAGTAAGTATTCTGTTTACTGTGAGCTGCTTTATTACAGGTACTGGAAGTCAATTTGTTACCACTGGGTGGTTACAATGATAGGTCATGCTTACAAAAGTACTCAATTACTTTTGAAAGTATTTGAAAGTATTGCCAGTGTAAAACTTGATTTTCTTTCCTTTATTTATTTATAATGCACTAGAGGTGAAATGAGGTGAAAACTTCTTTTTCTGCATCTTCTTTGCATTTTTTGGGAGTTTTCTTTTAATTTTATGCCTTCACTATTTCAYGTGCTGAAAACATAAACATTCCCCATAACATAACAAAACCAAAAGAACTGTTCCCAGGTCTGTCATGGTAAAGTATGGCTGGGTGAGAGGTGACAAGAAGGTTCAGGTATGAACAGAACTGATCTTTATGAACAGTCTAAATCTTAGTTTCTCATTAAAATTTTCMAAAGTAATTGCTTTTCTAAACAGAAGTTCAAATACTGTGTTGGAATGTTCTTTCTTAATAAACAACTAAGTCATGATTTCTTCAGCCACTGATGCATAGTAAATAAAAATCACCAAWATTTAAAATTCAGAAGAATGTCCTCATCCACAATGAAATTTATTGTCTGGGATTCCACTAAATACTATATTGTTTTGATTTKTAATTGGCAGCAGAGCTGTTCCTTTAGTCAGTGTGCTTAATATAAAAACATTCCAGTTCTTTATGCTTGATAAATTTAGATTACTAAATACAAGCAGTGTGGTAAATCAGATTTTTACTCATGGCCTTGTCCTTACACATTTAGTTCTACACAGAGTGCACAGGAAAATGTTAAATTGTCACAGCCTTGAGAGCTCTGGAAATCTCTGTTCTGTGGCAGGGTGAAGTGGGTGCTCTGTGATTTATTGATGACCTGTTGTGCAGCTGATCAGACTGTTTAGAACCTGCCTAGTTCATTAGTTGCTGCATGATAATTTCTTTCTTCACAGATATCTTGRGTATTTTTCCAGTGCTGTGATCATTGTTTATAATAAATTTCCTTACTGAGAGTTCAAATTTCAAATTGCTGTCACAGACAGAATTTTTTTAATAGCAAAATGTGAGAAGGTACTTTTAGTTTAACCTTGACTTGAGGGAGAAAGTTGGAACTTGTTTAAATGGAGCGGAATTTTTTTCTGGACTTGTTTAAATGGAACTGGAGTTGTTTCAAAAAGCTGAAATATTTATAGAAGTGATTTCATCCCTCTTTCTAGATGCTGCTGTTCAAAGCTGAAGTAATTAATTGTTGATTTACCCTTGGAAGCACTGGACATTTTAGTTGTACTTAGGAGATTAAAAAAATGAAGTAACATTACTTCAAAACTGTTTCATCCATTTTCCTTTGTATATTATTTGGTCAAGGCTCACAACAAATATTTTGAAAAACAGTTTCTTATGTCTGTCACTACCACTTAAGATGCAGTGCTAAATTGATGTTTTCTAGATCTCTCTGGTAAAAGATCTGATTAAAAGCAAAGTTCTGATTTGCAGCAAAGCATGTGGGAACTTTCTGAATGKTAAACAGTGGGAATAGTGTCCCTCTGCACTTTCTTTGGATTCTTCCCATGAAATGAAGTTTTTAAGTGTATTCAGGAATTTGTAAAATGTGTCTAATAGTCTTCATCTGTTTAGACTTTGTCCTTTTTTATTCTKCTGATTTTTTCCCTGTTGTAATTGTCTTCATTATGACAGAAAGTCTTTTATTCCCTTGTCTCAAGGTGCTTGTTCTTCTTTTTGCATTGCTTTCTGTTTTCTTGCAATCCATTATCTGTCTCAATAGCTTGTTCTTTTCCCCCCAGGAGTTAGATAAGGGCAATSTACAAGGTGATAAAATTCTGTAAAAAGAGAAATACAGGCCTTCAGTAAAGATATCAACCACAGGATTTTGCTTTTAGCTCCTGCAATGTACTTCAGTTTTCAAAGCATTTTGAAGACTCACTGCAGCTTAAAAGTTTCAGGGCACAGAGTAGAAATCTGAAGTGTAATGTAGGTGAAACTGCAGGAGAGATGGCAGTGCTGTAACCATCCCTGCTGCCTGCAGGAAATCCAGGGGCTTGCTGGAGTCTCAGCAGGCGACAGGAGTGGCCTCTGGGTGACATCTGGTGGCAGATTCGTCACTTGCCTGGAGCTKCAGTCCCGATGAGACTGGGCAGAACAGCCGGTTTTATCCCACTCCTTTTAGGCGATAAAACGGCCCGGAATTGCCAGGATCCCCCTTTCCTTGATCTAAAGGAAAGTTGGAAAGTAATCCCTCAGCCCCTGAGAAGCATCTGAAAGGATGTTTGAGGATTTCATCTCATCTGAGATGTAAGCTGTGATTTTCAGGATACCTGTTGTTGTAGGGTTACAGAGGGAAGCATTAAGGTGTCAAAATGGCTTACTGGTGATAAAATCCCAGATGACTTGTTAACAAATGCATTTTTTTTGCCATCTGCTTCCCTTATTTGTTACTTTTTTTTTTTTTTCCAGTGTACCTGGCTCTGGTGATTTGGATAATAATTGCTTTTTCTAAAGATTGCTAGTAGCTGTAAATCTTCATCACCTCTCAGGCCCAAGGAGAGGAGGATTGCCTTCAATCAGAGGTGCATCATGTTCCAAGWGTACCTTCTTCTTCTTCCCCACCCCAGGTTCCTCAGTTTTTACTGACAACGTCCAGGAAACAGCCAAATAAAATACATTCAAAATCGTGTTTGAACAGAGCAGCTACACACGCCCAAGCCATAACATTTTGTGTAGAGCAGAATGAAAACCGAGAAACTTTCTACCTTTCCAGGATAAACTTAAAGAACAAAATTACATTTATTGGGCTTGTTGCCGGTAGTAATTGCTCTGGCAGAAACTCTTCAGAGACATGGCTTAGAACAAAGCAGAGATTTTTGTGATAGTGGTTCTTGTGCAGAGGCATCTGCTGGAGGGAGCCAGGGATGTGTAATTCCTGCACAGCCACCTTTTCTCTGCCCTCTGAGAGCATAAATTGCAAGGGAAATAACATCATGTTGTACATGCTGCCATAAATCACTCATTTTATAACCAATAAAAGCCAGAGCTGCTCATCTAGATGAGGTTTGGGTGCCTTGCCAGCATTTCCCCACATAAAACTATTGAAAGGAAATGGTGATTTGTAATAGCTTGACTGTGATTTTGCAAAACAGAGCTCATCTTTTATATCTGAGCTTTCTTCCTCCTCACTTTCTGAAGTTGTCCCATCATAAAGGACAGGAGCATCTTTCAGGTAAAGAACGAGTGAATAAACTATTTGGGGAGGTGGCAGCATSCCCTTTGTTATAAGAGCTGTGGAATTGAGTAAAACTTGCAGGTGCCACATCCACATCTTGTCAGACACTTGCAGGGCTGGTGATKCCACCRGTTCCCTAAGGAGCCTGTTCCAATGCCTGACCACCTTTGCAGTGAAGAAATTTTTTTCATAATGCCACATCTAAGCTCCCCTGGCACAACACAAGAMTGTTTCCTCTCTCYGTCTCTTGTTCCCTGGGAGAAGAGAACAATCCCCCAACTCACTGTACCCTCCTGTCAGGGAGATGTAGAGAGTGATGAGAACCCCCTGAGCCTTCTCCAGGMTAAACAACCCCAGATCCCTCAGCTGATCCGCATGACAGTTTTGCCCCAGCCCCTTCCCCAGTTCTCTTCCCTTCTAGGACACACCTCAGCCCCTCAATGTCTTTCTCCTGATTCAGAAGCCTCTAGAAAATCATTGCAAGTGTCCTCKGAAGTAGCCTGGATAACTCCAAGTGTGCTGTTTGAATACCTTACTCTAATTCCAAAATACCAAACCAAATGTTTTGATTTTTCCTCTCGGCAAATTGCAGCATCTCCCAAGCCCAAGGAAAAACCTGTTGGGTGTTGTCTTGACAGCTCTCCCAGTCCTTACTGCAARGCTGGTTTAGATACCCCTCATTGTCACTGGGTCGTCTGTGTTCTGTGGGTGAGTGTGGCATTGAGGTTTCTGCTGTTTCTGCTCTTCAGTTTTGTCCTAGAGTGAGCCAGTTTACAKTGCCCCGAGTGCTTCTGCTGCAGGAAACATTTCAGTGCCAGTCAGGAGGCTTTTTCTTCAACAAAGTGCTGTATTTGCTGCCACACCCACAATCACTGTGTCCTGATTCACTTCACAGAGCMTTCACTCTGGAGTTCCCTTGGGACAAAACAGAACCAGGGAGATCCTGCAGCCTGTGGCTAGGGTACCCTTCTTTCTGTGAGGCAGTCAGGTTTCAGGACCACCCTGGAGCTGGYTGGCAGCAACCCCCCAACACATTTAGAGTTGCTGTGCTGGCAGCATCTCAGCAACAGCTGTTTCATGCTCCTGTGTTGCACAGCCCTGTTTGCTAATGTAAACACAGCTTAAGGGTGATGAAAATGGTAATATGGCCTCCTCAGGACTAAATTAAATTTGTTTTCATCCTAATGCCTTCTTAAAATGTGTGTATATATATGTACATACATATTTTTAACAAGTCTTTCTCTCACTTTCTAGCGTTTCCCTTACAGGATTTATATTTCAAATGGAGTAATTGTCAGCTCCCCTTTAACAGCAATAAGCATAAGACATCATGTCAGTACTTGTTCATCTATTCCTTTTTCTCAGTTCATTAGTGTTATTTATTGCCTGACTGGATTTTGGGTATTAATGAATTCTCCTCCAAGTTTGCATTTCTTATTGAAATAAATCGATCCGTTTAATATCTCTTCAGTAATTATGTGTTTAGATATATTTGCACAGTGCCCCGGCTCTAWCAAGATTAGTGGCAGGAAAATCCCATTCTGCAGATTAGCGTGATGTATTGAGTTGAACTTTAGGATTTTCCTCTGGTGCTTCATTATGAAGGTTTAATACAGAAAAACACTTTGTCTTCAATTACTTGCTGGCTGATGTGCATCTGAAAGGCTCAGATGAGCAGTCATTTTTTTTTGTCTGGAATTAGAAACATCAGCTTATGAGATATGA